CGCTGGAGGCGGCGGAGCTTCCTGAAGGGCCAGCGCATGACGCCTCGAGCGCGGCAGATTTTCTTGAGGGAGGTGAGGCAGATACCGAGCTCCTGTGCAACCTGCTTCTCTGGGAGGTGGAAGTAGTGGCTGAGCTGGTCGAGGGTGATATTGCTCTGAGACATCGAGGTAGGAAGGGAGGAATTCTGCTGTTTATCTGAATCGGGGAAGTCTAAGTGAGCACAGGAGGTGGGAGAAAGATCGGAGAAGGGGGGATCAGGACGCGAGGGGGGTGGGAATGGAGTGACGACAGAATTTTGAATTGTTTCTTGGTCGTCTGGGTCCCGTCAAAGATGTTGGAGGATGAGGAGGAGGAGGAAGAGGAGGAGGAGGAGGAGGAGGAGGAGCGACAAGAGGGGAGGGCAGAAGTGTACAAGTTGAAGGCGAGCACGGGCAAACGGATTCGAGCGACCAGTCGGAGGGATTCAAGAAAGTCATATAATCAGTACTTGTAAACCCCTTGACGGACCCATGGAAAACCTATGATATGTACGGGTGGGTCCACCTTGGAGGGTATTTTTAGATCGCTTTTAGCCGGCGGCGATTGGAATGAAAAGCCGCGTGCATATACAGGAGGTAGGGTAGTACACGCCTGTGACAGGGGTAATGATTGTGTGTATTTGCCTTTGAAATGGTGATTGGGGGTAGGGTATGTCATAAAACATGTGGTAGGGTAGTCCCATTATGCCGATTGGAAGGAAGAGTCATTTCTGAAAAGGTGTGGTTTAAGGCCTTTTGTGCTATTTTTAAAGATTTGACTCCCCAGGTATGAAGAGACTCGGAATGCACGAGGGGGGGGGGGGGGGGCTGTATGATGCGACATGAACAAGAGATGGAGAAGAAGGAACTCTAAACCTCGGCACAAAGTATAGCTGAAGTAGAACTCTACTTGAACCGTACGCTTGGCCGTGAGTCCAAGAGTGTATTGTACTGACCTGGGAAAGAGTTGTAGTCGGAGATGACGGGGAGCACACAACTGAAATGATGCTCACAGTGATCAAGAAAGTTTAAGGCTTTCTTTATTTGAAATCATTGGCAGAACTTGCAATCAGAGCTCGCCCTGAGATCTTGGAGAAAGATGACAACTAAGATTCATTGTTTCACATGTAAAAAACTTAACTTTGTGCAAAAAGCAGCAGTTTCAAAAAGATTGGCCAGCATTACATGATCCAGAACTTGGAAAACATAAATTGTTTATTTGTCACATTGGATTCCAACGGGGCGGGTACCATGACCCTTGAAGCCCCGGTTGAGAGTCAAGTTGGAAAGTCTTGTCTCTACATATTGTCTATGACGGCACCATACACCGCACGGCTGTGTAGCAATGATGGTGTCACACTGACACTGCCCCCATCATACTAGTTGTTTATTAGAAGTTTCAAGTCTGCCTCAGAGAATGTTCTCTAAGACAATGATAGATTTTCACTCGAACATGGTCCAGAGTCAAAAACTTTGGTGGCAATGCAGATGGACCTCAAGCCCCATCATGCTTGTTTCAGGAAACATCGCAATGCAAATTCAAACAAGAACATCTCTCTACTTGCCATGTATGATAATAAGAAATGCCGACGTTATTTCCATGCAATATGTGCGGGAAGTTCAGATAAACCCAATACATGCGAGCCAGAGCCCTCTTGCTCGCATCACGGTGTCTTTTCCAGCTTCGCCTTCGCTACCTCCACCTCCCTCGCTGATATCAGCTTCTCTACCTCCACCTCCCCCGCTGATATCAGCTTCTCGTCCCCGCTTGCACGCGCCTGTTCAACGGTTCCATCTCCAGCACACTGTTTGAAGGTTTACCGTACCGCCGCACCTGCCCCTCCTTGTACTACCGTATTCGCAAACTTGCCAAGAGGGTTGGGAAAGTGTGCCGCGTATCCGGGCCCGGCCGACGCCTTCAAGGCCCGGGAGTTTGGTTGAGTCAAAGGGAACTATCAATCCTTGCAGGCAAAACAAACTTTCAAACCGTCCGACTGGCATCTCTCCTACGGCAGCCTGATTCGGGGCTCTCTACCTCCGAGTGCGCTTGATCGGACGCCGGCATTCGCTGCACCGTGACTGTCACACTCACTCTCAGTCACAGCCCGGCCCGGCGCGCTCCACTTTTCCGGGCCCCGGCCCCGGGCCCCGGTCCGGCGCCGGGGTGCGCCTTTATATGATCACATGCCGTCGGTGTAACCCTGGTCCATGGCTAGTTAATTGGGGGGTAGGGGTCCTCTTAATGGCCTCTATGCCTGCAGGGGCGACTGAAGAGATTGGAGTTGTCCCTTCGAAGATCAGGAGTACCCCTCTAAGATAGGGACTTTGAAGGGGTACTATTCCTATAAGTGGGTACCTGGAAGTACCCTACTATCCCTCATCTCAAATTAGATTCAGGATCAAAAGGAGGTGGGGGTACAAGTTTGCAGGGGTATCGATTGGCTGGGGGTGAGGGTATGTAAGTACGGGTCAATCGGAGGGAATTACATGGGGTACATGAGTAGCATCAGAGAGAATGGGGGATGGGGTGGTCTCCAGTGAGGCGGACTTGCAGAGGTTGAGGGAACGATCACACGTGCGGTCTGCAGCATGTGGGTAGGGGTCATCACCCCCGATGGTATTTTGTCCCCGATATATTTTGTACTGTCATCTCAAATTTGTACTGATAAATTGTAAACATCATACAATTAGTTTTAGTAGAATATTTTATTCAGTACCATAGCTATTTATCTCAGGTACAATCTCATTAGGTTTAAGACCCCACCCTTTCACTCAATTCGTGTCGTCCACCCGCTTCCCTTGGAGGTAGGTATCGCAATTCCCGCGCACAGGCCAGGCGGCGGCAGGAGGAGAGGGTTCAGTACCAGCGCACACTAGTCTCTTGCTCGAACCTCCTGAGGAAGCAGATCGAAACCATGGGCAAAGAAGAACCGAAGAAGAGCGCAAAGCAGAAGCGCCAGGAGAAGCAGGAGAAGAAGAAGGCTGGCAAGGAGGACAAAGAGAACGAAGGGGATGCTGGAGCTGAAGATGCTGCCGCTGCCTTGAAGAACTTGAGCACTTCGACTGTCTCCAAGTCCGTCGCAAACAAAGAAGCTGCTGCTGCCAGAAATGTTACTGGTACGTGCTGTCGAGGCTATGTATTAGCTTGGGGTGCTGTGTGTTTGCTCGTGTGTGTGTAGGAGGCGACGGCTTGTCGCAGCTCAAGGCTGACACAAAGTGGTTGAACAGGAGAGCTTGGATCGAACCCTCTCTCAAGGGATTTGAAGATCATCTCCTTCTCTCTACAGCTGTACGGCAAGCGCTTGATCGAGGACACCACTCTGGAGCTCTCGTACGGAAACCGCTATGGTCTCATCGGTTCAAACGGGTCCGGGAAGTCTACTTTCCTGACTGCCCTGGCCTCTAGAGAGCTTCCGATCCCCGACCACATTGATATTTACCACCTCGAGGAAGAAGCTGAGCCCAGCGAGAGAACTGCTGTGGAGGCTGTGGTGGACGTTGTCAGAGAGAAGGTGGAGAAGTTGGAGAAACTCGCTGAGATGGTTCTTGAGAGCCACGGGCCTGAAGCAGAGATCCTCCAGGTAACTCCTCGCGCTCCCTCTTCCCCTCGCCTCTTGCCCCCGCCTCTTGCCCCCGCCCCCGCCCTTTCCCTTTCCCTTTCCCTTTCCCTTACCCTTACCCTTGTGCACAGGACATCTACGAGCGCATCGATCGTATGGATCCGTCTACCTTTGAAGTCCGCGCGACCGAGATTCTCATTGGTTTGGGTTTCTCGCACGCTTTCCTCCAGAAGAAAACTCGAGATCTGTCCGGAGGATGGCGTATGCGAGTGTCACTTGGCCGTGCTCTGCTATTGCAGCCTGTGCTTCTTCTCCTGGACGAGCCCACGAACCATTTGGATATGGAGTCCTGCTGCTGGTTGGAGAGCTACTTGGCAAAGTATCCTGGAATTCTTGTTCTTGTCTCTCACTCGGAAGATTTCTTGAATGGAGTTTGCTCCCACATCATTCACTTGACGTCTAAGAGAAAGTTCGTCTACTACGGAGGAAACTACGATTCTTTTGTCAAGACAAAGAGGGAGAATGATGTCAATCAGATGAAGCGCTATGAGAAGGAGCAGGCGGACATCAAGCACTTGAAAGAATTCATCGCATCCTGTGGTACATATGCCAATTTGGTGAAGCAGGCTCAGTCGAAGCAGAAGATTATTGACAAGATGATGGAGGCTGGACTCACCGAGAAACCTGAGAATGATCGCAGCATCAAGTTTCATTTCCCTGACTGCGGATCGATCCCTCCTCCCGTCCTCGCGATCAACGATGTCTCCTTTGCGTACAGTGGCAAAGAAGAGGACATGCTCTACAAGCACCTGGAGCTCTCTGTGGATCTCGACTCTCGCATCGCTCTCATCGGTCCCAACGGAGCAGGAAAGAGTACGCTGCTGAAGCTGATGTACGGGGAGCTGAGCCCCACCAGGGGAGACGTGAAGAAACATTCGCATCTTAAGATCGCCAAGTTCCATCAGCACTCGGTGGATCAGCTGGACGAGGACATGACGCCTCTGGAGTACATGAACTCTCAGTTCCCTGAGAAGAACCTGGAGCTCGAGGCATGGAGAAGTCGCGTCGGGAGGTTCGGAGTCTCCGGTGAGATGCAGACAGCGAAGATCAAGTACATGTCGGACGGACAGAAGTCTCGCCTCGTCTTCGCCTATATCGCCGAGTGCAATCCGCACATCCTCTTCCTTGATGAGCCAACCAACCATCTTGACATGGAGTCGATCGACTCGCTGGCGGACGCGATCAACGAGTTCGCGGGAGGCATGGTGCTGGTGTCGCACGATTTCAGGTTGATCGGCAAGGTGGCTAAGGAGGTTTGGTTGTGCGAGAACAAGAAGGTTGAGGTGTGGAAGGGAGACATCCTCGAGTATAAGAAGAAATTGACCAAGGATATGGAGAGGAAGGTTAAGGCTGGGCTCACCACCCCGCAGTGAGGAGCTGGTCTTGACGGTTACTAACCGCCTGTTATTGGTTAGAGTGTAATGAAGTACATTGACTCGTGGAGATGCTCTCTTCAGTTGTCCTTGTCTCCTCCCACTCTCATCGTGTTGCCGTTTGCTCAGTCCAAATCTCATCGAGCACACTTGTTAACCTTGAGTTATCTGCTCATGGCTTTTAACCACCATGTTGAACATCGTCGAGCCACTCTTCTTCTGTCTTGCCTGCTCCACATCAACACAGCAATGAACCAGTTGGTACCACCTGCTTGAGAAACTTCCTCTGCTCCCTCCGCATGAAATCTTCTTGCGACTGCTCCAATGAATCGTGACATCAGCAACGCCAAAACCATGCCCGTCATCTTTCAACACTTCTCGACATCGTTCTATCTGCTCCTCGTGGCGATGAAGCAGCAGCAGCAGCAGCAGCAGCAGCAGGTGAAGGTGGGGGCGGCAGCAGCAGCAGCAGGTGAAGGTGGGGGCGGCGGCGGCAGCAGCAGCAGCAGGTGAAGGTGGGGGCGGCGGCGGCAGCAGCAGGTGAAGGTGGGGGCGGCGGCGGCAGCAGCAGCAGGTGAAGGTGGGGGCGGCGGCGGCAGCAGCAGCAGCAGCAGGTGAAGGTGGGGGCGGCGGCAGCAGCAGCAGCAGCAGCAGGTGAAGGTGGGGCGGCGAGCAGCAGCAGCAGGTGAAGGTGGGGCGGCGGCGGCAGCAGCAGCAGCAGCAGGTGAAGGTGGGGGCAGCAGCAGCAGCAGCAGCAGCAGCAGGTGAAGGTGGGGGCGGCAGCAGCGTAATTCAAGATGTTTTCACCTTCCACATTAAGACCTTGGCGTACTCGATCCTCTTGACATAAGACGATTTCCGCTTTATCCTCTCCTCCTCCCTCTCTGTTGGCGCTGATGAGACCTCAGAGTATCTGCGGAGGAGGAGTGAGCGAGGCGGAGAGGCGGAGAAGTGTCTTGCTTGTTGGCAGACTTGAGAGCTTCGATGTCTCCATCTGTCAAAACCTCTGCAATGATCTTCCCGTTGGGCCTCCTCGGGAAGTCTAACGCATGCCCAAATCTGAGAGCAGTTGACAAGGCAGGACAGAAGGGAGAGAAGGGAGAGGGGAGGGGAGGGGAGGGGAAGGAAGGAAAGATAGGGAAGGGGTACACGAAGGGAAAGGAGGGAGGGAAGGGAAGGGAACGAAGATAGGAAAGGGGGAAACAGGCAGGGAGGGGAGGGAGAGAGGGGTAGAAAAGGAAGAGAGGAATGGGGAAGAGGAAGAGAAAGAAGAGGAGGGGAGGATGGAGGAGAAACAGGATCAGCGAGTGACTCACTTGTCGATGGCCCATGGTCTATGACTGACATTCTTGGTGAACGTCAAGTTGACGAGGCCACGAGTGGGGCAGATGACGACTTGAGTGAAGAAGATTGCATCGATGAATCGCGAAGATCTGCAGGAGACAAGGAGTTCACAAGGAGGAGAGATCGCACTGGTGGTGACAAAGTTGAGTCGATCCAAGGTAAGATGCGCATTGCAGAAAGAATTCGTGAACGATTTCACCTCGAGTTTGTTCCTGGACAGATGTCCTTCTCTGTCAAGCCCTCAGACCGCAGCCCCCTGCTTCATCGCTCACGCGACACCTTACGAGCAACTCACACCTACCGATGGACTGTCTCCAGCATCGCGGTAATGTTTCTCCGCTCCAGTGCCGGCCGCATGTCAGCCAACATGCGGGCATCGAAGACGCGCATCTTTTCGTCCAGCTCCAATCTGAGATGCGGGCGTGAGTGACGGGAGAACGTGACATCGCCATGTGATGACGTCACAACAACCTTGACATCCATCCAGGCACTTGTCCGAAGAGCACGTCAGGCTCTGCCATGAACTCGCCTTGACACATCTCAGCTTCTTGTTGCTCCCACACACAATCACCATGCTGATTCTTTGCGCTGTGACCCGAGAAGCTCTTGAGGTAATGCGATTGGCGACTGGAGAGTCAAAGGAGAGGTCACGAAGAGCAGAGGCAAGGAGCAAGAACTGACTATGCTCGCAACATGGCTGTGTAGCAATGACTGTCCCTCTCTTTCTCCCCGTGCACGATTCGAACTCTGCCTCACGGGGTGAGTTTGCAGAGACTTCAAAGAGAGACGGTGCAGGCATCTCACGGATCAAAGATCATGTGCTTCGGTAGCCCTGACGAATCCTCCGGCGCCATCTTTGCAATTCGCTCGTGCCACTGATCAACCCAGGCGTCCTTTGAAGACGGTCAGGTCGACGGGAAAAGGTTCGCGTCCAGGCGCACGTGCTCCTCTACTGAGATCTTCCTGATCGGTCCGTTTCCAGGACATCTGACTCGCCACGTCATCCAATGCTGCAAGTGAGACTAGGCAACCACCTGTATCTCGCCAGCTCTGCGTGAGTGAACATTCCGACGGACTCATCAATATACGACACATTGTCTGGCCCCATCCTGTCTTGCCGACATCTCCCGTCAATAATATCGCGACAGTTTTCACAACTCACGTCATGTATCGCTGATACAGCGAATACTGGCGTTGGTCCATGTCAGACGCACCCAACAAAGGATCCCATGTCATACAAACGGCGTTGACTTCACGTAAGTCTCGTCGTCGATGTCCCCTAAGATCTGAAGCCCCCTGCCAAGAGCATCCTTTACATCACCTCACTGTAATTCAACATCGGTCACCCAAAACGTGAATCCTCTCCACAGTCTCTGTAGAGCTCCTGGTCGGGGGATCAGGATTGACCTCGGATCACTATCACTCGCCTCAAGTTCCGCCCCCAGCTGCCATGGCGGTCTGTTCAGCGGCCATCTTCTCAGCATCTTCGATCGGTCTCTCCTATGGGTTGACTATCAGCGGATGGATGTGTCAGGCTACACTTCGATCATTACAGGACGTGAAGAAGTTCCGACAAGCTCATCGGGGGTTTCGTGCTTGCTCCCTCGTCGCGCTCCAACATGCTCAACTCGACGAGCGTGATCGTCATCACCACCAGCCATGTCCTCATCTAGCAGAGTGCGAGGGTCAGATCTCTACTTGTTAGAACGGGAATAGATGCCAGTAACAACATGGCTGCGGCTTTGCGAGATTCGTGAGGAGCAGAAAGAATGATGATGAAGAGCAGCAGGAGCAGGAGCAGAAGCAGAAGCAGAAGCAGAAGCAGAAGCAGAAGCAGAAGCAGAAGCAGAAGCAGAAGCAGAAGCAGCAGCAGAAGCAGAAGCAGGAGCAGGAGCAGGAGCAGGAGCAGGAGCAGGAGCAGGAGCAGGAGCAGGAGCAGGAGCAGGAGCAGGAGCAGGGAGGGCTAGCGGAAGGAGGGGACTGGGGCGATGCAACCCTAGAGTCGGCCATGGGCTTCATTGCGAGCATAGCAGAAACTTTAGTTCTACTTGACTTGCATAGTTTCAAACTTTCTCAACCCTCAGACTTCAAAACTTTCAAACTTTCAAACTTCCACAAACTTCTTCAAAAAACTTCGCCAATCGGTTTGAACTCTCAACGCTGCACGCGTGAGGATGACGGTGGGGTAGGGTACCTCTTGAGATTATTTGGACCGGTATATTACACTACTCTTTAGTGGGGAAATATGTGGTGGGTAGTGTTGAACTATTATCTTAGGGGGTCAGTGAAGGGGGGTGGTTTGATGACATAAAGACCGTGGTCATAGGAACACTGTAGGAATCCCGACTACCCCCACCTATACAAATCAATTGAAAATTACCTCTAAAGGACGGGTATACAATAAGGCTCTTGGACTACCCCTGGTCTTCCTTATAAAATTCAGTCCAATCCACCTCATGTTGGACCATATATCCTTTTAATACCCCCTACCCCCTCTAGATCTATTTGAATACCCCACCCTCACATCATGGATGGGTTGACCACCCCTGGTTATCCCAGCCCTGTTCAAGGTACTTGAAAGTAGACCCCCTCACCCCCATTCCTGACCCGACCAGTACACCCCTACCCCCTCTACGTCCCCTCATCCACCAGTCGCAAGGGGTGGGTAGTAATGAAAACAAGAGGCCGTTGGGTGGGGTCATGTCCAGGGTTAGACTAACACGGGGGGGTTGTACATCCCGTATAAATGAGGGGGTGATAAAGGTGAAAAGTACGGGTTAGCGATGAGGTGATGGGATTCGATGGGGAGGGGGTGGGAAAATGATGAAGAGGATGGGGTGGGGGTGATGGAAGTAGGTGGAAGGTGGCGGAACATGCTGAAGGGAGGAAAGGAGTGAGAGGAGGGGAGGAGGAGGAGGAGGAGAACAAACAGTAACGACAACCAAGACTGTTGCCTTAACGTCTCTTCCCTGAGAATTTCTTGCCAAGTAACATCTCGCACGCTTGCGGTTCATTCGAAATCTTGAGGCAGATTTTGGTGAAATTTGCAAACTGACCTGAGGAGACGCTGCAGGGAGAAGAGAACATCGGCGGTCACTGCCTTGGTTTGCATGAACTTGATGATAGGGAAAGTGTTGGGCTGTTGATTTGCTGATAGTTTTGCTCGGATTGTGAGCACAATCTGCAAGAATGGCCAGTATGATGGCAAATCTCACCAAGAAGGCTTTGTTCATGGCTGCGGCCAAAGGTGCGGTCAAAACACCTGCAAGGAACATTGTTAGCAGCCATGTAGAAGGGTTGACTACCAAACACATGTGGTTTGCGGCGGATCATGGGAAATCTGAACTCAGGCGAACTCAGCCGTTGGTGTGGGAGTTTCAGGTGACGTTTCTACAACGGAGGGGGATGCATATTCTTTCGGGGAAACGAGCAAGGTATGGGGGTCAGGGAGGTCGAGCTCATTATATTCATCGGTCAGCAGTTGTTGAGGTCCCAACAAACGCGCTGATCAGATTCTACTTGTTTTGGAAGTCAAAATTTGGTCGAGTTTGTGTGGGTTGTACGACGTTTGCTATTGGCATGACGGGACTTGGGCTGACAATCAAGAGGATGCAAGGAAGACATGCAAGCCTACCTTGGCTGGTTAGCAAGGAGAACTCGGTCGCCGAGCTCACTGTGCCAGTTCTGGACAACACGGGGATGAGTAGCAATCAATTATGGTGAGAACCTGTCTTGCGAGAAGGTTGTGTGAATGATGGTTTTGCAGGGTTGAACGAGAGATCAGCGTCAACTTGATGGTGCAGAGGATTTTTCGACACATCTTCATCTTCTTTCCTCTCGCTGTTTCTTACCTCCCTTTCCGTCTCCTGGGAGGTTCAGCCCTCGACTTGTGGTGGCGGTGGGCCATCGCAGAGCTGGAGAGGAGCGGCCCGGCGTTTGTCAAGCTCGGTCAGTGGGCGGCAACTCGCACGGATATTTTCCCGCAGGATCTCTGCAGCAGACTCTCCATCCTGCATTCGAACGCGCAGACGCATGACATCGAGAGCTCGCTGGACGACCTGCTCCTCTTGATGCGAAACTCGGGATATCAGCTCCTGTCGCTGGACAAGACGCCGATCGGCTCAGGCTGCATTGCGCAGGTACATCGGGCAGTGATCATGAAGGACGACGAGCCCATGAAAGTAGCGATCAAGATCATCCACCCCGAAGTTCCTTCGACGTCGTACGCTGACATTCACCTGATGCTGAGCCTGGCCACTTTGGTGGAGAAACTGCCGCGGCTGCGCTGGTTGTCTCTGAGAGAAAGCGTTGAGGAATTCGCAGGTCTGATGCAGAACCAGATAGACCTGAGGGTTGAGGCCAACAACCTCGAAATGTTCTCTCAGAATTTCAAATCGTGGGAGGAGGTGAAATTCCCTCTGCCAATCCGGCCCTTGGTATCGGAGAACATCCTAGTGGAGACTCTTCAGGACGGAATTCCTCTGGCCGAGCTGATCTCAGGTGAACTCGGCTGCCTGCCGTGCGACGTGCGACTGATGCTTGCGAGCAGGGAACCTGTCGGACCAGACTGACATCAGGAGGAAAGTCGCAGACATCGGCATGAGGGCGTTTCTTGCCATGTGCTTCAAGGTGAGAGGACATGAGTGTACGCAGTGTCTGACTGCTCGAACAGCACAACTTCATTCACGGGGATCTACATCCTGGCAACGTCCTCGTATCGTTCGGAGAGGACAACAACGGGCCCATCAGAGTGAGTTTCCTCGATGCCGGCATCACCTCCCAGCTGTCGGTGAGCTATGAGACGTGCCAAGGGAGCACAAGGTGACTTGGTTTCAGGATCGAGACAAGAAGAACTTCGTTGCACTGTTCGGAGCTGTCGTGCAGCGAGACGGTCGACTGGCTGCTCAGCTCATGCTGGAGAACGCGAGGGATCACGCATGTGACAACGTCGAGGCCTTCTGCGACGGGATGGGTAGGAACCGCCCTATGCTCTGATCTCGTCCGCTGCTCCTCTTGCCTCCTCCTCTTGCGCTCTCAGTGTCGCTCCTTGTGACTCTTCTCGCAGAGCGGCTCGTCAATGACGCGCTAGGAAGAGGTCTGGTGCTCGGCAAGTTCCGTGCTGGGCAGATTCTGGCTCAGGCCTTCACTCTTGTACGTTTTCACTGCCGCGTGCTCATCGCTCATCCTCTGTCAGGCTTGTCTGCATCGCGTGAAGATCGAGAGCAACTTCGCTGCCGTCTGCCTGGCTGTCATGGTGCCCCTTCCTCGTCCTCCTCTCATGTTTGACTTGCTCGCAGGTCCTCGATGGGGTCGGAAGGGAGTTGGATCCTTCGCTCGATTTGCTGCAAATGGCAGCGCCGATCGTTCTACGGCAGCTCATCGACCGCAGATGAGCGGGAGGGGGAAATAGAAGGAGAAGGGGATAGGAAGTGAACGAGTGAAGATAAGGGGACGAAGTGATTTTAAGAGTTGTGAGCGATGATGTGACGAACGCTTCCTCCTGCTATCAAACCATTCTCACATTCGCCCTTTGTCTCCTCCCGTCGCCCTCCACCTCCACCTCTTTCCTCCCCTCCCTCTCCCTCCCCTCCTCCCTGGTCTCACCCTGGCTGTCTGCTGCGAGCTTAAGGCTTCTTTCCCAGTCCTTCACCCACCTGCGAGAAAGCACTTCAGGCTGCGAGCTCGACCAACATCTCCTCACTTGTCGAGGTTGAAGAGAGAGGAGGAGGATCGAGCAGCGTCAACGAGCATCCTAGCCGCCTTGGACCTCGAGAGCACCATCGCCTGAAAGAAGCAGCTTCATCCTCCCTCCTCTATCCCTTCTACCACCTGCTCCCCTCCTTTTCTCCTTCCATTCTTCTCCTCTCCCCCTCCCGACCTCCCTACACTGTATCTTTCCTCTCTCCCACTTCTTGTCCCTTCCTTCTCCTCTCCCCGTCTCTATTCCTCTTCTCCCCTGACCAACGGCTGTTCTCACCGCCTCCACGTAGTCTTGACCGTTCCTCGCAATCATCCAGGACAAGCCTTATAGGGCAGTCAGCTCCTCCTCCTCCTCCTCCTCCTCCTCTTCCTCCTCCTCCTCCTGTGCGCCTCCTTCACCTGCTCCATGGACGATGCCCGCGGCTGCTCTTGATACCATGCTCCTCGCCTGCATGCACCTGCTGTCACCCAAGGGAGAGGAGCAGGAGCAAGTGCAGGAGCAGGAGCAGAAGCAGGAGCAGCAATGCTGACCGGCCACACAAGAACGGGAATCCCTGACCAGAGCGCATCGACCTAGCAGGAGTGAGGGCTAGAGGAGGAGGAGGAGGAGTGTCGTCGTACTGTGGTGGTGTGACCGCTCTGCAGTCGGGTGTCGAGATGAAGATGCATGAGCTGAGAGCGAAGGATGTGCTCCTGGTTCTTGAGCTGGAAGAAGAAGATCAGCGAGAGAGAAGAGGAGAAGGAAGAGAAGGTGGTCAAGGAACCTGGAGAAGGAGCCACAACTTAAGGAAGAGGAGGAGGAGGAGGAGGAGGAGGAGGAGGAGGAGGAGGAAGATCAGCGAGGGAGAAGAAGAGGGGGGGAGGAGGAAGATCAGCTAGGGAGAGGAAGAGGAGGAGGAGGAAGATCAGCGAGGGAGAAGAGGAGGAGGAGGTAGGGGAGAGCAGCAGCAGCAGGAGGAAGCGAAGGGTTATCATTCACCTTCTCCGCTAGGATCAAACGAGTCGCGTTGATTCCATTTGCACGCAGAGCAGCGCGAAGATTTCTCTCCGCCTGAATCAGAGGGATGAAGTGAGGAGCAGGAGCAGGAGGAGCAGGAGGAGCAGGAGCAGGAGGAGCAGGAGGAGCAGGAGGAGGAAGAGTAGGAGTGGGAGGGTGAAAGAAATGATCAGTGTATGAAAGGCCGGGTTGAAATGAGGGAAGGGATGAAAGAATGAGAGTAAGAGGAGGAAGGCGGAAAGAGTCGGAGCAGGATCGTCAAGTAGGGGATGGGGAAGGGGAAGGGGAAGGGGAAGGGGAAAGGAAAAGTTTTCCTGCAACCTGCTTGTGAAACAAGAACTTTACGAGCACGAGGACAGACTGGCTCAAACCTTTCAAGGGCCAAAATGAAGAGAAAAGTTTGAGAACCTTTTCATCTCGTCGAAGGATATCGATCCATGCTCGTAGGATGTGCTTGTCTATCTTGAAGAATTGGTTGTAGCTGAAACAGCATTACTTTCCTCCTCCTCCTCTCCCTCCTCTTCTTCGTCGTGCTCATCCTCCTCTTTCCCCTTCTCCTCCTCCTGCTCCTCCTCGTCGTCGTCACATCCCTCCCTTCTCCTTGCCTGCAGTAGATGATAGAAGAGTTGGGGAGTCCTTCCTTGCTCCTCCTGCCCACAAGCTCCTTCTCTCCTGCTCCAGAGTTTGAGCTACTCATGAGGAGAGGGAGGGAATGTACCGAAGACGTTTGTCTTGAATCGTTGCCTGAACAGAGAAGACAACAGTAATGTGATGGGATGGCAGAAGAGGAGGACGTTACAAGACATGTCAGCCAGCAGAACAGATTGCAACCCACGATGAAAGATGAAGAGCAAAGTACTTGTGGGAGTTGACATGATACGAGTTGGGCATGTAGATGAAGGACTCCGAGTAGTGATGACGATAATCTGGCGGACTTGTGATCTGATACACTGAAAGTCAACTAGAGAAGAAGGTCTGAAGGCACTGAAATAAATAAAACAAGAGGAACAGATAAGGAAAAGGGAGGAGAAGGAGGCGAGCGGGAGGGAAGGAAGATGAGGACGAGGAGCAGGACAAGGATGGAGTGGGAGGAGGAGGGCAAGGAGGACGAGGAGGACGAGGACGAAGCGGGAGGAGGGGAAGGAGGAGTGGGAGGAGGAGGAAAACGAGGACGAGGAGGGGGAGGAGGAAGCGGGGACTGGGAATCATTCAGCCGATGGGCATGAGGGGGTCACTTTGTCGGTAACAAGGTGGTCTATGTAAGATGCTCCGGTGGTTGCGGCGAAGGCCATGTAGGCAACTTGAACGGCCGAGGGCTTGAAGGCGAGCAGACTGACATGAGGAGACGAGCGGGACGAGAGTCAAACATGTCCCGACAGGATCGACTGATCTCACCTCTTGTAGAGCATGGTGCCGTTGGCGTGTAGGCCGCAGATGTCGACGAGGACGTGGACGTTGTTGGAGTTGATGAGGGCAGGGATGTCGGACACTTCGATCCTACTAATGTCGACGAAGTGCTCGACCTGTTAGATTGAAGGAGTCTCAACAACTCCAAGGAAGGAAGAGCCTCTCCTCTCACGTTCTTCTCCACCCTCGCTTTCTCCGCATCGTCAGCATTGTCGTCGTGCGGTCTGATAGCAAACCCAAAGATCTGACGTGCAAATCTCAGCAGCCTGCGCCGGCTGATTCTTGACAACCTCGACTTGACTTCGGTTGTGCGACCCGAAAACCTAAAGGTTCATCACTAACGCTCTTCCTCCCCTCCTCGTCGCAAGCTTACATGGTACATGAGCCCGTTGCGAACTCCGAGGCCGAAGCTGTAGCTCAGGTACCTGAAGACAAGTCAGCAGCTCCCGCAAGGGCAGAGCGGTAAGGTGACCCAACTCTTAGCCTTTTCTTTCCAGACGGTCTGACTGGCATGCAGGTCAGGAAACAAAGAGGAGGAGAAGAGAGAAGAGCAGAGCAGAGGTGGGGGCAGAATAACATGAGAAGAGAGAAGAGACAAGAGAATCTGAGTTGATGAAAGGTGAGGTAAAAACATGAAAACGGAGATGTAAGGTCACTTTCATTACATGAGATTAGAATGCAGAGTGTGCGAGGAATGAACATCTCATCCAGGACCTCAATGCGTACATACAAGACTAGCATGTCGTACCATATCGGAAACGATGAAGAGATGGCTGCAGATTTCTGTTCGTATGGATGCGGCAAAGCTTGAGAACGTATTCCTCATCAACATCCAGAAGCAAAATCTTGAAACCACGAAAATCTTCAGACAATGGCATCTCCCCTGTCCACCCTTCTCCATCCCTCCTCTACCCTCCTACCATCTCCTTCCTGCTCCTTCCTCCCTCCTCTACCCTCCTCCCTTCTCTTCCCTCCTACCAACCCCTTCCTGCTCCTTCCTCCCTCCTCTACCCTCCTACCACCCCCTTCCCCATCCCTCCTCCCTCCTCTACCCTCCCCCCTTCCTTCACCTGTGACGGCGTCCAGACCGTGTCTGCCGGATTGCCCGACACTTCAGCTTTGCCAAGGACGACGTGAAGAGCTCGTCGCGCTCTAGCGTAGTTGCGGTTCCAGGAGGAGAGGATGGAGGCCGTGTAGTGCTCCAGCTAGAGTTGGTCAGAGCGGCAAGAGGATACGTAGGTAAGGAGGGGAGGGGAGGGAAGGAGCAGGGCCATGTGAGAGGAGCAGGAGGAACACGAGACAGGCCGAGAACAGGGACGAGCAGCACGAGAAGTGACAGCATGACAGGAGGTAGAGGGGCAGGGGCAGGAGGAGCATGGAGCACCTGGAGCAGGAGAGCTAAGGACCCGAACTGATTCTCATCGAGCCGCATGGTCGTCTCCAGCACCCGGATCGCCTCCTCAATCTCCCCGACACTCCACAGCGCTTGCCCGAGGTTGGCGAAGTACAAGGAGTCGAGCTGGGTGCTGGCAGCCATCTTGAAGTGAGGGATCGCTTGCTTCGACCTCCCCAGCTGATGGAGGCTGATCGCCAGGTTGCTGTGCGTGAAGGCGTCTCTCGGCATTAGCGATGCAGCCTTGGACAGGAATGCCACAGCTTCTGACGCTCTTCCCTCCAGCAGGAGCTTCTCACCGATGAAGTACAGCTGTTCTCCTGTCATGCTGCGTGCTGCCTCTGGCAGGCTAAAGTCAAGGGGCTTGTCTGTCTCGTCAGATGCGAAAGAAGCACTGTTAACCACAACTTCGCGCGCGTTTCGTGGGACGGCGGTGCCAGCCTGACTCAGAGAGGAGAGGAGGAGGAAGAGCGTGGCTGCGGGACGCAGGATCTTGGACATGGAGTCGTCAGCACGAATCTCTCTCCCTCCTCCTCTCATCCTCTTCCTCTCGCTCCCCTCGTGCCATCGTTCCCCTGCTCCCACAGTCCCTCGCCCATGGTGGAGGTCGCTTCCCTCTGAGGCGGGTCTGCATCAAGTTTGCCCCCCTAGCGATATCAGTCGGACTTGATCTCAATGATCATCCGATATGAGATCACATGATCATCAGTGTGACACCGTACAGTCCAACTGTTTTAAACAGGGACAGCAGTCTGCCGGATGAGGGTTGTTTCTCGCTGTCTTTTCTCCCGGAGTCTCGCGACCCGGCGGCGGCTGCGCGACACTGAGGCGGACGGTGTCACTGAGCCTACTCTCTTGCCCGGGTTCGGAAAGGCCGGCCGGGCCGGGATCCGATGCGGCACGCCGGTGATCCGATGATCGGACAGTGCCGCAGTCAGGCGCGGCCGCCGCCGCCGGTGATGATCGAGCCCCAAGTTGACTCGTGTGACCGTCCGGTCAGACCACTTTGACTGAGTAACGGTCCAAGCCTGAGGGGGGTAGGGGGTACCTGAAATAGTACAGCCAACACGGGAAGCGCATGGGTAGGGGTGATAGACGGTTGGTGCGCCAGTCATGGCAGGGCCGGGGGTAGCAGACGCGAACTTGCAGTGGGAAATTCTCAACTGAGGGTTACGAGGAGGGACGTGAAGACAATGATGAACAACAAGACAAGCTGAACGTCCTCTCTCCTCTCCTTCCCTCAGACTGCTCTCCCAAGAGCCGGCAGCCCACGTTGAACAGGGGGGCCCTGCAGGAGTCTGGCCAAGAGCTTTCGGGGATTCCTGATACCAACGGGCTGACAAGTCAGTGAAGGTAGAGGGCAGAGGAGGAGGAGCGAGCGGAAAGTGTCAACCTTTGGATCTGAGGAACGACCGAGCTCCTCATACCTCATGACTCAAGGGCGTTCTAAGTCGTCAATCGGCTTCCATGGTCCCGGGCCAGGAGCGTATGACGTCTCAAAGGCGGACCCATGGCGGTCAGACATTGTACGGATACCGACGGCGAAGTCTCAGGCACCCAGGTAGATGTCTGACTGGCAACTTGCTGAATCGGCTAAAGTGCTCTTTGGAAGGTTTGCACTTTCAAACAGCAAGTCAGAGCTCGACTGGGTCGTACATCGCTCAAGACAGGTTCCCTCCCCGATTCAGTACGGAAACAGCAACGAGAGTGCACTCAAACATACGAGTCTGTACAGGTGATGACCGAGTCTGTGGTACCTTAAGATTGTTCCTGGTCGTTTGATGCGTGTCCTATAGAAATAGTCAGGTCGGGGGGAAGATGACTCTCTCGAGAGGGATGAACTCTGAAGAATTTATCCGCAAGTTGAAGTCAAGGTCACCATGATCGCCAAGTCCTCGCATCTTCTGAGATGTTCTCTCTAGTTTTCCTGCACCTGGAGCATACGGCAACCCGATCCCTCCGCATCTCAACGCATCGTCTGGTGGAAGGTAGCAAGTTGCAAACAATTCCTCGTCGCTAAAAAGCTAATAAGCTGATTCGCAAGATTTTCTACAAGCAGCAGCCCTTCAGAGGTAGATGTAATCTGTAGAAGGTTGCTCTTGCTTTCTGTACCTACTGCTGCCTTCTAATCTATGCCAAATAGAACCGCGAAGTTCCCTGGTCCTGGCCAATATGCCTTGCCCAACATAGCAACAACAAAAAAGGTAAAAGAACTCATATCTCTCTCGAAAGTTTCCTCAAAAGCGCAAACAGAATGGGCCATCGGTTGGGAAGATCGGTAAAGCTTCTCTTATGGTCGGGTCAATGTACAACTTCGTGCCCGATACACCTGCTCCCGACCACTACTACAACGTAAGCTCACTTCTGGCATGACGTTGTATCGCTCTGACACGCCTGGAAGCCCAAGTACTCCAGCCTTGTAGACTCAGGGGGGCGTTTTTCGATCTCAAGTCCGATATCGGAACTTGACAGGATAGTGCGAGACGCTCGGTCGAAGCCTGGACCAGGGAACTACAAGGTGAAGGCTGAAGGTTGAAGTGCCGTGAGGGAAAGGTGACGGGAGGGCAGGTGGGCGACACATACGGAGCGTTCAACAACAAGAAAGTCTGGCAACCGTTCAAGGGGCACGTCGAGGCTGTGGTCTCACGCAAGGACAAGAACCCTGACATCTCAGACATTCAATCGCTTCGGGAGACGAACGAGAGCGAGGAGAATGAAGATCAGTCCTTGCTGCTAGTAAGACATGTGAGAGGAACGATTCACGGATGACTTTTGTTCTCTGCAGTCCCTCAACGAATTTCTTCGAAGCCGATGGCTCGAGTTGACCAACGCAAATCAGCTGCAGGGTAAATCAAACGCGATGGACAAACAATCTCAAAGGAAAACAAGGCCATGGTAGCGCACGCCATGAGTCAGTCCCTGACATGTGAAGGTCACATAAACCTTGATGGGAAGACTTGTTTTAATAGCCACAAATGGTTCCATGTCCTTTCAAAGAAACCAAGTTCAAAGAACATCATCGTATCCATTCTCTAGAATGTTCCAGCTCTGAAAGACTTCTGTTGAACATCACATCAGAGCTCCTTCTATCAAAGAGTTTATCCCAGGAGGGGGCCCTGCGCATGAATCTTCCTCAAGCACTTCATGCGGTCCTCGAACCACGGGAAGTTCTCAGTGCACCAATCGATGGCTTCCTTGGAATGGTAGATGTCGCCAAACGTGGCTGGGGATGCGTAGTCTCCAGTGACAGTGTGAGCAAGGGAAGATGAGGGGTCATGGGGCATCGGCGCGTGCAAGAATGGGCGCTCGTATCTGCAAACGAAGTCACAACAGGAAGGGGACAAGACAAGAAACAGCTTACGGGTCCTTCCAATAGTCACCAGGCTCAAGCTTCGAGACAAAGTTGCTGTCACCAGCGGCGGACTCAAGGGACTGGGTCGAGATGGGATCGTTTCTCGAGGTGCTGTAGTATGGAGAATCGCTATCCGTGGTGGCGAGCTCATGGGGAAGGCCGCGCCTGCCCGCCAAGCTCTGCACCTGAGAACGAAGCATCTGATGGCGCCTCGCTCCAGACTTGGGGTTGAGAGCAGAGAGCTTTCCAGAAAGGCTGTTCACTTCCTTCTCAAGCACGCGAACTTCCTGGCGAAGAACATGGTTGTCCTTCATAAGCAGCTTCTGCGAGTTGTGCTTCAACGCGCCTCTGCTCTTGTACCTGTTGACGTAAGCAAGATCCTGAGTGGTGGGCGCATCAATGTCTTGGAGGACAAAGGAGGAGGAGTTTCTGTCGACTACCAACAGCGCAAGGAGCAGGAGCATGGCGCCGCTCGCCCCCAACGCTGCCCATGTTCGCTGCATGATGCCTCTTCGCGTTTAACCCTCCACCCTACCCCCACCCGGTAAATACAAGAGGAACTTAGGGGTATCAGCAACATTTATCAGTCCACAAGGGTAGTATCTCACACGGCTGAAATTTGGGGGTAGGGGTGTATCTGAATTTAATCGATTCAAAGAAGGTATCACCAAAGTATTGAATTGAATCGATTCAGCATTGCTTTTTCAGGGGTACCAACAAGGTGATTTTGGAGGGTGGGGGTACATGCTGCCAAGGAATGCGGGGGGCGGGTATGGCGGTTCTTCACCTGGCGCTTCAAGTCGGTTGTGTGGGAGCAGGAGGAGCAGCAGTAAGAATGCCATCGATGGGAAGACAAAGTGCCGGGAGGATCGTCAGTAGCCTCACGGCATCTTCAGCTGCCTTCATGGCGGCAAGATCTCGTCCGGAGGATGGACCCTTACCGGCAACCAGCGCTGTCTCTGACTCGCTGACGTCAGCATGGATCGTTTCTGGTCTCTCAGGCAAAGTGTCGGCGGCAGGGGCGGCAGGGGAAGCTGCAGGAGTACCAGGACCGCATGCTTGCGGCCGGAGAGGTCGTGCAGCCACGTCGCTGAAGGCATCTTGCGGAATCTCGAAAGTGAATGGAAAGGAAACCAAGAAGATAAGCTTGAAGACTACAAGCAGAGTGTTCTCTGAGTCGTCCAGACAACGTCTTCCTCCTGTTTGCCTCTCCTCCTTCTCCTCGTCTTCTACCGACGCCAAGATCGCGAAAGAATCGAAGACGATCGAAGCTTGCGGCACCCCAGGAAGCGATTCTGTGCTGAGTGACCCTGTCCTCGTTGTAGGACTGGTGAGTTTGTGCCTTCCTTCCTACCCCTACCCCTTCTCCTACCCCTTTTCCTGCCCCTACCCCATCCTTTACCCCTGCCCCTTGCCCTTGGCCTTGGCCTTGCCCTTGTCTTTCCTTTACCCCTTTCCCTTCCTCTATCTAACTACCACTTGAACGCTACCTCGTCCTCTACCTTTGTACATGCGTTATTGGCCTTTCTTGATATGCTTGTCGCTGCCACTTTCCCGCTGCCCGAACCTCACCAACGTCGCAGGGTAACCCAGGATCGCAGTACACGCACACGAGGCACAACATCGGTGTTTCTTTTCACTCCCCTTCTCTCGTACCTCATACTCAACTTCCCTTCCCTTCCTCCTCCTTCTTCTCCGTCCTACCTTGCTCATGTCCTGTGCTGTTCAGGCTTCCTGGCTGTTGATGAGCTTGCGAGGAGGTGGCAAGTAACCATGAAGCCGGTGGCGGAGGTCCATGGGGATCTTGGATGCGTCATGATCAACGGGCGGAGGGTCCACCTGCTGAAGCCAACGACCTTCATGAACCTCTCGGGCAAGTCTGTGCAAGCAGCTCTCTCCCTCCTCGACATCACCAACCTCGAACGGCTGCTCGTCATCATCGACGACATCTACCTGCCCGTCGGGGGCTTGCGGGTGCAGCCTTCCCTCTTGTCTGCCATCGGGAGACTGAGATGAGCGCAGGCGAGGCCCAAGGGGAGCCCCGGAGGACACAACGGACTCAAAGACGTCGAGCGCAAGCTCGTTACGCCCGATTATCCCCGTCTGCGCGTGGGGGTGGGAACCGTTCCTGAAGGTCGTCAATACTGCTCGTCCTCTTCCCCTCGCTGCTCTTCGTCCTCTCCTCTCCCTTACGCCTCGTCTCAGGTCAGAACCTCGTGGATCACGTGCTCGGAAACTTCGAGGAGGAGGAGATGAGCCGGATCCCGCTGGTCATTGAGAGAGTCTGTGAGGTGGGAGATGTCAGAGCCGCTGCCTCATCTGACATTCGGCAGGTGGTCGGTGAGTGGGTCTGCGGCAGCGACTTCAGCCGCGTGCAGAACCTGTGTGGGGTCCTGTCCAGCAAGCCGCTGGGAGAGGAGGGGAAAGGGGAAGCAGCAGCGAAGCAGGAGCAGGGGGAGAAGACTGAGAGTGTTAAGGCCATGGTTTGATTGGAGGAAGGAAAGCTCAGGGGCGTGTAGAGTGATAGGGGTGAGTGAAATATCTGAGATTAAGGAAAGGAGGAGGGGAAGCGTCACATGTAACCTCTTTTCCTCACAACTGTACAACCTTGTTCTTTGACCTTACCGGCGCATCTTAGCAGCGTGATGGATCATCTGAGCGATCGTTTGGTTCCCGTGCTGTGTCGCGCTCTCCTCTGCTGTCAGTCCTCGCCTCGAAAGAGCATCCAGCTTCAGCGTGGGGATCTTGAGGAGCTCCTGTACCCCCTTGGCGTACTACGACCCACGGTCATTGGAGGCAGGACAAGAAGCCGATGCGAGGAGGGAGGGGAGTGGAGCAGGCGATCAAGAGAGAAAGGGAGGAGGAGGAGGAAGAGCAGCGGTCTGGCTCACCCCTTCGTCTGCTGCGAGATGCAGAGCAGTGCAACCGAACTCGTCCTCCACGTTGACGTCGGCGCCGTGAGCAATGAGGAAGTCGAGGACTGTTCCTTGCATGAGAGCAAGCTGCGCCCTCACTCCTCCCTCCCCTGACTTCTGTACTGCTCGAAAAGTCAGCGACTCAGAGAAGAACAGCAGGAGCCCAGGACGAAGACGGCGAAACTCGAAGGAAGGGACGAGGGTGGAGCTGAAGTGAAGAGGGAAGCGGCTAGGAGGGGCTGGGGGGAGACACCTTTAGTGATCGCGCTGGTCCATTTCTCCCGCAGCCGTGAAGTGCCAGCAGAAAAGTAGATCCACTTGTGCCGGTTGTCTCCTTCCTCCCACTCCGTCTGCGCGTGCGGTGGGAGGCTCCTGAGCGCAAACACGTTCCCTTTGCCTTTGAGCTGGGGGAACTCGTGGAAGAGTTGGAAATCTGCAAACACACAAACGCGATATCGATCAGCACCTGAAGCGAGTATGAAGGGCCGAGAGGGAAAGCGCGAGAGGAGGGGAGAGAGAAGGAAGACGCGAGGAGGAGGGGGCCGGAATCAGGAACAAGGGCGGGGGTGGGGGGAGGGGGAAGCGGAGACAGTGAAGGGAGGCGAGAGGAGAGTAAAAGGGGAGACAGGAGGAATGGGGGAAAGGCAGACCTGACACAGCCAGCCTACCAATCGACCGATTACTTTTGAGGAATTCTTTCTCTCCGACGAACCACTGCAGGTCCTGGTTCTTCCTGAGCACGAAATACCTCGAGGTCCACTGGACGTGGTTGGGGCGCGCGTCCTCTTCGTCTGTAATGCACAGCCAACCCTTCATACACGGCTCGTTCTTTGACTTGTCTGACTTGCGCTTGTTCATCAGGTGACCGTATCGCAGCATGAAGATCTGTCCCTTCACTCCCTTCCATGCCGATACAATCTTCTCCTTCACCTTCGCATGGAGCTTCTGCCCCTGCACCAGCTTCGATTCTGTCCACAAGAGTTTGTGCGCTCCTTCGTCTAACAAGTCCAGGTCATGGAAGCTCATCTGCTCTTCCAGCCATGTCCTCGTGTCATCTCCCGACTTGAGGTGCTTGAGGTAATCATCTATCGCTTCCATCGCCTGGTGATGAAGTCTCTTCTCCACTGTGAGTTCCAGCAGCATCTTGTCTGCATGTTCGAGATGATTTCCCTCGCGATAGATCGCCATGAACTCCTTGTAATCAAGCACGCCATTCTTGTTCACATCCAGTGATTTGAACTTCTCTTCCACCTGCCACAACCATCACCATCATCACCACAAACGCCAACAAGTGGATGAGAAACCAACACACCAGAGCCTCAGGGATGTTGATCTGAAGTTCATCGAAACACTTCTTGATCGCATTCATGGTGATCTCAGCATCCGCCTGCATCACATTCACTTCACTCATACGACACCTCCAACTCATCACGGTGGCGTATTTCTTGAAAACCACCTCAGGATGGGGCTTGAAGATCTTCTTCCTCCTTCTCCCAGAGGAAGAGCTCCCTGTGGATGCCACCTGTTCGGATGTGGAAGAGCTACGAGCAGGTCCAGGCACAAGCTGAGCGACTGGAGTCTCGAACAAGTTTGTTGTTTGATATCTCACTTCTCCTAAGAACCTCCCTTTTGTCTTGTCGCTTTCCTGACCCCTTTGTAAACTCAAGATCGACCAGCCGTCCTCTATCTTGAACTTTGCCATGTTATCCAACACAACACCATAGTCAACCGTCTTGAGAGTATCCGGATGAAGCATGCCGGAGGGAAGGAAGGGTCGACTTCAAGCTATGCTTTTTGATTGCATCTGATGACTGCTCCGGAAATGTTCGTCCATTCAAATGTCAAGGGCCTAGGATAAAATTAACTATGCAATCAACCAGGAACAATGAAGATCAAGGTTCAGAACATTTTGCTGCCAAGTAAACCATTGCCCCGTTCTATGCCTTTCTCTGCTAGTGCTTTGGAGCGATCGTACCTAATCGTCCTCTTCTCATTCTCTTCTTCAAAGCTTTCTCTACCAGGGATATCCTTTGCTTTGACTACATGCAATACTTGATTCAAATTTGGAACTTGGAAAGGCGCGACAACGTTTGGTTCGATTTTGGCTGGCCCCTCCTAATAATGTACCACTGCCTTCCCGTCCTCTCCCGTCCTCTCCCGTCCTCTCCCGGCCTCTCCCGTCCTCTCCCGTCCCGGAGTCTCCCGTCCTATAGTATCCTGTCCTGCCCGAATTTGTCCTCCCTCAGTGCTGACTCCTGTCCGTTCTCGCCCCCTCCCCCCTGCGAGGCCTCTCAGTCAGCCTGTCAAGGCATGAATCCTTTTCCGTGCGTCAAAAGATTTACAACGTTATAAAGTTTCGAGATCTGGTACAATTTTACAATATTGTAATAACTGAGGTCGTAGAAATAGATCACATAAAATGTTATAGAACACAGCATAACTCCCGTCAGTTTATAAATCAGCGCCCAAAAACAATTATAGCGAACGCTCAGCGCCTTTTTGAACCTACTCTCTATGATTTGAAATACCAACTCAAAGTGTTTTAAATTCATGTAAACCCTTGAGGTGCCAGGGAACTCCGAACCCTCAGAAACTCTGGGGCAGGCCCATTAAACAATTATATCGGCGGCTCTTCGTGAGGAACGGTCATTAATAAAGTTATATAAACGGAAGTACACAATTGACAGGTGGACCCCGCGATCATCAGGTTGACTTCCAGTGGTCACGTCCGAGCGTGACCGCCCGGAGCCGCCTGGCGGGCCGGCCGCCGCTGGCCAATCACCGCCGGTCACTGCCGCCTGGCCAGTGGCTTGCTGCCCGGCGGGCCGGGGGGCCTCCCCCGATAGTACTAAATTTTCAACCTGCCGCATCCGAGGCCCTATGCGGCGTGAGTCAGTAGTTCCGGGCCGGGCACGGCACTGTCGCAACCGTCCGGGTTATTCAAGTTTTTTTTTCAGTAACTGACCGTCCGACTCAGTGACTGTCAGGGTTGAGTAGCCTACTAGTTGTTCTGAGTCACAAAGTGTTGCCAACTTGCTGTCACAACGGTGCGGCGTTCCGGTACGCCGACTAGTTTAAGAGGCTGTGAGTTTAAGGACTCCGCCGGAGAACCATTTGGGGGGCAGGCAGTTGGCAGGATTGGGTTTGGTTCCGAAGTTCTCGCTGTCTTTTCTCTTCTCGCTGTCAAAGTTTGGCCTGTGCGATCCGATCGGACCGACGGCGACACTGCGTCAGCCGGGTCAAGCCTCCTCGCCTCTCCTGATTGTCCTCGTACTGATTTTTAAGTTAACTTCGAGTAAAAAAAAGAACCATCAGGCTCTTATCCCGCAGTGCATGGCCTGCCACGGTCCGGCGTCACAGTGACTGAGGCGTCTCAGTACCGTCTCTCAGGCCCCGGGTTATCCTCGTACTGATGTTTAACTTAACTTTGAGTAAAGCACGAGTGTAACGGCGGCTTGTCTATTTTCATAGGCTCCCCACCCCACCCTAGTACAATCGGTGCTTACTACCCACCTCCCTCTGACTAAATACTGGACCCACCCTATCCCACATGCGTCACCCACTGAGGAAAGGAGGGGAGCCTACCTACCAGTTAGGCGTTGCAACTGGGGAGGTGGCCTGTGGACCCCCCCCCCAAGTGAGGCTCTTGGAGACACAACGGGTAGTGGGGGGTAGTTGTCAAGCCCTAGTCAAAGTTTTTTTTCAGTCAGGGGTGAACGACAGCAGAGGGACCGGGAACCACTGTGGGTCACATCATGGCAGCAGTTCGCGAGGGGGTAGGGGTAGTACATTCTTCCCCTGTAGGGGTACTAATCAGAGATAATGGAGGGGTACAATGACGCATCAGGAGAGGAGGGGAGGGTATGATTGATGCTTCGAGGACGGGTGATACTTGACCCACCCCTCCCCAGTGTCTCCGCGCCATCATGCACTGTCGCAATTTACTTCGCCATTCCCCTCTCTTTCTCCTGCCTGCTGCTGCTGCTGCTGCTGCTGCATGGCTACACCATCAGCAACTCCCTTGACATCTACAGCATCCTATGCTTTGATCCAAACAGCTTTCTCCATACTCATTTCGTCACAGATTGTTGAACCATCGATGAAAAATTATGTGTAATTCCCCTTGGTCATGTATTCAACATCTCATTGAAAGTCCTGTCCCCTGTAACAACTTTGGTCAGTGTCTTTTCTCTTATGAGGGGACTATATCACTCTTGTTCATGGATATGCCTTTGTGCGCGTGAAAGTGCTTCTTCAAATTGCAATTCTTTGTAAACATGACTGGCAAAATCCTTCCCAAATTTTTCATTCTTAGTCCTAGTGTATGTTTCTGCATCCTTCAAAACTTTTTGCGGTGCTGACGTTTCTATGTAGGATGAAAGGGAAGCATTGATCTATTCTTGGAAGACGATAAAAACATGACAAAACAGTCGTAACTAGCCCTCTAATCTTTCAGGATGGAAAGAATTACTAAGACTGCTTCTTCGGCATTTTGGAGCGAACCTCTGCTCCATCCAGACACCTTGAGACCAGCAATGAATCTGACCAAGACGAGCGTGAGTGATCGAAAATCAGCACCAAAGTATGAGATCATGGGCCTTACGATTCGCAACATTGGAGCTGGTCTTGTGGTAGAAAGCATAACGCTGGATTCTTGTTTCAACGACGCGAAGTTGATACGGGAGTCGCACGTAAGATCATTGCATGATACGTGCATGGTTGAAGTCTAACCATATGTTTGCGTGTTAACAGAATGGAATGTGGACTGGAAGGATTGAAATCGATGATTACCTGATACGGATCGGTACTCAAGAACTGCAGAAGGGAGATTCGTCCATAAACATCGATGAGATCTTTGAAGCAGAGAGGAAGCAATGTCATGATCATATGCTGTTTGGATTCGAGAGGAGAGGTTTGGATCCAGAGGTTTCTCCAGCTTATGCAGTATCTGTGAACTTGCTGAAGAATAAGAAAGAAGCGACTGAACCAATTGGCAACGTAGAGAACAATGATCATGAGGAGCAGGAGGTCCAACACAGGCAAACTCTCAAGCTAGGAGCCAGAAATCTTGAGCTGCCAACCCCTACGGTTGAGGAGATTGAAGCAGACAATACTCACGACAACGAAGACGACGACGCCTCTCCGCCTGCGCAAAGTCTTGAGATTAAAGTAGAGGAGCTGATTTCGGCTACTCAGGAAGCCCTCGATGACACGGAAGCGAAGCAGAAGCAGCAGGAGAAGGTGAAGCATGCCAGATGGAGAGTGCCATCGACTGACGAAATGATGGAAGGTGTGGTTGAATGAGGTGACCGAGCTAGGCAGGGAGATGCGAGCTGAAGCGAGGAAGGCGAGGCAGGCTGAGCAAGACATGAAGTCTCTCCATATCGAGTACAAAACGCAGCTCAAGTCGATTCAGAAGGATCTGCAGGATCAGCTGCTGAAGAGCAAGCGGCACATTGAAGAATCGGATGCGGTTGGGCTCGACTCCCTTGAGCTCGCATCGTCTGCTCTCGACCTAGTAGAAGTGCTGATGGTAAAGTTTCAGTCAGACACTTCGAGCTACGAGAAGAGGATCCACAGGCTGGAAACTTCGATGGCTCATATGAAAGAGCAGGCAGAGCTCGAAGCCAGAAATGCAGCGAAGATCGTGATGGAAAGTTGCCAGGAGGAAAAGAACAAGGTTGAGAAGAGACTTCTCATGGCCGTCCAGGAAGCAGTTGAGGAGAGGCTCGAGCTAGAGAAGAAGGCAGAAGAGTCTTTCACTGAGTTTGAGTCCACCAAGAAGCAACTTGAAGACCTGATTGCTGCGGTGGTTGAAGAGAACAAGGAGCAAGTCGAACGCATCCAACAAATGGAGATCGACAAGAAGGCTCAGGATGATCGCATCAAGTACCTTGATCAACTCCTGCAGAAGGAGATCAGCTCGAGGACGATCGCAGAGGAGGAGAGCGCTAGGCTGCAGCAGGACTTGTCGAATGCTATGGAGGTGATCGTGTGTCAAACGGATCAGATTCAGCTGTTGGATGCGGAGGCTACGAGTTTGACCACTTTGCTGGAGGCTGCGAAAGAGAAGGAAAAAGCTCTGACCATGTCTTTGGAGGAGAGCGTAAGACAGGTGGACTCTTGTCAGGAGAAGACGACCGAGGTTGTCAGTCGCCATGAGCAAGACCTGAAGCGCTTGCAAGAGTCTCTTGTGCGGGAGAGGGAGAGGGCCGATGTTCTGAACTCTCTCAGGCAGAAATCCAAAGAGGCGATGAGGGAGAAAGATGCTATCTTGGTGTCGGCTCTGCAGGATTTGAACTCCGTGTTTGACAAGGTCAAGGCTATCAACCTCGAGTTTGGGGAAACGAAAACTGCACTTGGCCGATCTCTCCAGTTGTGTGAGGACTGTCTTGACGAGTTTGACAAGCACACTGTGCGATGGTCTCACAAAGTGGAGGAGAGCTGGGCGTTGTATACCTCCCTGAAAGAACGGCACGCTGCGTTGTCAGTGAGGTTGAAAGAAGCTGAGAGGAAGCCTGTCCAGCTCGAGCAGGGCTGTCAGAGTCTTTTGACTCATACGACTGACGGCTCGTCTCAGTCAGAAGCTCCTGTCCAGCTCGAGCAGGGCTGTCAGAGTCTTTTGTTCATACGACTGACGGCTCGTCTCAGTCAGAAGCTCCTGTCCAGCTCGAGCAGGGCTGTCAGAGTCTTCCTCCTCCTACTACTAGCGATTGTTCCTCGCAGTATGAGCTTAGTTCGGACCAGCTGGGCAAGGAAGATGGAACTCAGCACAAGGAGAGGACGCGGCTGGGCATGCCGCTTGCCTTCAAGCTGCCGGAGGTGCAGCCGACGGAGGAGCCGGTGGAAGAGAAGACGATGCAGAACTTGCGAGAGCAACTAGAGGATGTGCTTGAGAGGGAGAGGATTCTGCTGGGGATTTGCAGGAAGAGGGAAGGGGAGCTGAATAAGGTGAGAGAGAGCGAGGAGAGGATGAAAAGCAGCATGATAGCCATTCAAACTCAATTGGAGGAGATGAAGGAAAGCTCAGCGGAAATGAAGAGGTTGGAGGAAGAGAAAAGGCGAAGCTCGATGGCAGAGAAGGAGGCGGCTGCAGGGGACGAGATCGAAACCTCTCAGCTCAAAGTCTCCCGTGACAAGCTCGTCGACGTTCAATCTTACCTCTACAAGAAGGTCGTCGGGCTCGAGCAGGCGCGACAAGACGCGTTGAGGGAACTCACGAGCATCAAGCTGGATATCATATCGTCTGCCGGCAAGGATGTTGGAAGTGAGTTAGAGGACCTTCGAGGAACTTCGGCTGCCCTGCAGGCGACAGTGAAGGAGCTGCAGCAGGAGGCGCGAGAGCGGAAGCGTCAGCTGCGCATCCTGACCAAGGAGAACTCGACGCTGCGAGAAGAGCTAGATGGATTTGTGTCGGAGAAAGTTCGGAGGGAGGTCAAAGGGCACAGACAGGAGGAGAGACTCGCTGGGATGGAGAAGACGATCCAACGCCTCCTCACCCTCGAGCTCCTCCCTCTCAAGATCGAGCTCGAGCTGCTGGGCAGGGACCTCATACTGCAGTCAGATGGCGGGGAGGGAGAGGAGGAGGAGGAGGAGGAGAAGAGGATGGGGAGTGTCATAGCAGGAGACTCTCGTGGGGAGCTGGTGAAGGCGCTGCGATCGCAGGTGGTAGAGCTTCAGGGAGGGAATGAGGCTCTGGTACTGTGCCTGCAGCAGGTGCAGGTGGACCTGAACCGTGTGAAGAAGAGGAACGCCCAGCTGCAGTCGATCGTCCTCGACGAGCACACGAGAGGCAGGGCAAGTATCTCCGTGCAGACCGAGGAAGAGGAAGAGGAGAGAGAGAAGGAAGCTCATGGTATTCAGTTCTCTCATAGGAGCGGACACAAACCTCGCGTCCTGTTGGGCGGAAAAGGTCAATGTCTTCTCCTCTTGTTGTCCTCTCCTCCTCTTCCTCTAATCCCTGCTTGCTAAGTCTTGCTTGAGTGCTCCTGACTTGCTGAACAGGCCCAGGTGAAACTCCCCTGGGGAGAGGCGAAGGTCTAGAGGAAAGCAAAGAGGAGGAGGAGGAGGAGGAGGAGGAGGAGGAGGAGGAGGAGGAGGAGGAGGAGGAGGAACGACGGAGGAGACGTAAAGGAAAACGAA